CGCTCGCTGAGCGCCCGGCTCTCTGCTGTGTTTTGACAGAGGCCATTCCGACAGGGCTGACTAATAGATGGGTTTGAAAGCACAACAGCAGATTTGGTTTTCTCTGTAACTGTCCTCCAGACTCACTTCCTGATTGGAAAAGTGGATGAGTCACCTCGTAGCAGGTTTGATTAGAGGGACATTTATCCTTTTAATAAGACAACACAAAGCAGTGGGCACATGGAAACATTTACAACACGTCTGCAGTGGTCGACGGTCGGACACGTGATCAAAGGGCCGCTGATGGAATAAAAACAGACGTCGTCTTCAACAAAGGGGAAAACAAAGGGGCAAGGGGGGAGAGAGAGAGAGAGACCTTTCCCTGACTAGTCATACTCTAATCCCTGACATACGATAGGCCTCCGGTTTTCCCCAAACCCAAAGCGCCTCTTATCAGTTTCTCTCACAGCTTCTCTCCTGTCTCTGCCACCTGTGGCATTGCGTAACTGTTGAGGAGTAAAGCTTTCAAGAGGAACCCTCTGATCCCTGGCACAGGGAGATGACATCACCATCAGGGGCCTCCAACAGCACAATCGCTCTCTGTCAGCCCGGGAACGAAAGACAATCTCTGCCTCAGAGTCGCAGCGACAGATGTGCCCATTCCAGTATAGAGGAGAGGGCTGACGGGTCAAGGCTGACAACAATAGGCAGAGTTGTGCAATCCAAAACCCCTGAACCAGAAAGAGTTTTCTATAGGAGGTCTGGGGGGGAGGCTGCATTTTAATGTCAGAGAAAAATTGCGAGTTGTTTTTTGTTTTAGTTTATAGATGGGTGTAGACCAGACATGGGCAAAATAAGGCCCGGGGGCTGGATGGCGGCCTGTTCGGCTTTTTAATCCGGCCTGCCAAAATGATGTAATTTATTTATATTATCATTATATTTCTTCCATTTCCTTTAATAGATACCCATGTTTCCCCAGTAGATGGCATAGAAAATGATAGAAGCATTTTAGCATTTATGCATGACTTTTATATGTCATTTATCCAAATTTTAGGACCCACTTTGGTCCGCGAGTCACCACGCCTGGTGTAGACTGTAACCTGCTTAGATTTTATCTGAATTTGCAGGAATCATAAATGTCTGTTAGCACACCCTTGTGTTATCGTACACCCTATAATGTCAATCCTGGCTGATACAGATGTAGATAAGAGTTGATCAACAGGTCAGAGGTTTTCAGTTACTTAGAAAAACATATATTCCTCAGATAGTTTTTTTTTTTTAAAGTTGATCAACACCTGGCTGGAACAAGTGAGAGTGTTTGGAAAAGTGAACCGTGCCAAATGGAAACGTAAACGCACCACGGGAGGACAGCTCGTGTGCATCAACACTGATAAGAGACAGCCAAGAAGAAACACAAACAAGTTTGTGTTGATAATAATGGAACCGTTAAGATAGGGGTGGTGTTGGACACACGTAACACTGAGGCAAAGTTCACCGGAGAGGACAGGCAGGTGGAAACAACGTCACCTACCTGTGAGAGTGAGAAGTAAAATCATGAAACCCACCAATCGTCCCAGGACTAACAGGACTCACCTGAAAAGTCATCAAACGCAGTCGGGACATATTTGGTCGGGTAACCGGCAGGAGGTCGCTCTTCAACTTTTTTTTTTTAATGGATTATACTGAATCCTGTTTTGTTCAGTAATATTTACTTAAATAAGTTGCATATAAGTGAGTTTTACTTTGTTTTTTTCTACAGAAAAAAAACACAATGTTGCAGAAAACACTAAATACTAAAAAAAATAAAACATTTCTGTCGTCTGTGCTTCACCTGAGAAGTTGTCGTAGGCGGTCGGGACATACTCTGTGGGGTAACCGTTGGTGGTGTAGCTGACCACCAGGCTGGTTTTCCCCACCGCTCCGTCACCGAGCAGGACGCACTTCAGCAGCCGCCCCTGAGCGTTTCCAGGCCGGTCAGGGTTGGTGTTGTGCGGCGGCACTGGAGGAGCCATAGTCCTTCCGTAATCCATGGTGCAAGGAGGTGACATTCACTCAGCCGGCTGTTCTTCTCTACCCACTGCACCCACCATGGGAACGGGGAACAGGGAACAGGAGGGCGTCCTGGATAAAAGTGAAAGTTGGTGCGTAACAGCGTCACCTCTGGTCCTGAGCGCTGTCAACCCCACTGTGGCGTTTCAACATCCCGAGCTCGAGCAGAAGATCTGCACTTTACAATGGGAGGGAGGGGGGGTCTGAGAGGCGTTATAAGTGCACAGCGATTTGACTAACACCGCCCACCTCACGTCCCATCATCTGCACAGAGCTCGGCGGCCTCAGGGTGGCGTAGTTTTACGGATTTTTATTTTTAATTTTTTTTGCGTCTTTTATCGTCATTAATAATATATATACTGTCAATAATGTTATATAATATTATTTATATTTTTACATCTTCTCAGTTGAGCAAACATTTTATTTGTTTGTTCAACTGTTTAAGTGGTTCTGTCATTCTAGACTGTTCTACCAGTGAGGGCTGTTCGCCTCGGGGACACCAGGTCCAAACTTGTACAGACATCAGTGTGTCTCGAGGTCCGTTTTAGACGTGACACATAATGCGCTGAAACTTCAGAGCCCACTCAGACCACTTGACCTACATTCGTGCGGAGCCAGCTGAGTCCTGTGGTCGCACTTAGAACACAAACGAGCAGACAAAGTTCAGCAGAACTTGAAACCACAGCCCTGTCGACAGATATTCATGCGGGAGAAACCTTTCAACCACGACCATTTTTATAATTCTTCTTCCGTTTGAATATCTGGACACCGAACCGGGAGATTTATTTCGCCCTGGTCCAAGCTGTCAGACACACATGACAGCGAGAAAAACGAAGATGGAGGTATCGTCTTGTGTCTTTTGTCGCCACCGTGTGGTTTAGGAGAGAAAGTGACACCGACAAAGCTGGGGAAAAAAAAAACAACAACAACAACAAATAATTGACTGTTGTTTTTAGCTATTTTGGCATGTTCTCCTTGTGTGAAACAAACTCAACAAAATATAAATATATATATGAATATAGGGGCTATTTTCCTGGCAACATTAATGCAATAGCTAACCTGATAATTGTTGCTAACCATGCTAACTACTTTCAACTTATAGAAAAAAAAAGGTCACGAGAGATTTTAAAGTATGTTGCTGTTACATCCCATAATCCCTGCAGACACAAACAGAGGACGGTACACGTCCTGCCAGAGGAAGTGAAAAGAACATGGTATAATTAAAGGGATGGGCATTGTCATTATCTGACAGGATGTAAATATGGTTTCCATGATTGATGAGTATTAAGAGGCACCGACTGTGCCAGGAAAACATTACACCACCAACTTCCTGCTCTGTCGACAGAAGCAGGTCAAATCATGCTGTGGGCTGTCACTCTGATCACACCACGTCGTCATCCTGTTAGATTAACGCTGTCTGAAGATCCTTACCTCCGTCTTGGAGGGGCATAATAGACTTCTACGAGGGGTAGGAAAGGGGAAGGGGGGTTGAAAAAGGGCAAATTAGAGCTGTAATTCTCATTTGTGTTTTCTAATTTATCATGAATCCATATAGTGGTTTAATTTGTGTTGTTTATGTCACGGAGTTAATTGCATGCACTTCTCATGCTGTCTATTTATGCTGTCTCATGTTGTCTATTTATTTATGTTTTATTCATTAATGTATTTATTAACCTATTCATTAATTTATTAATTATTAAATAATTTGTTTTAATTTGTATTTATTCGTATACACAGATCTACAAATTATTTCGCGTTAATAATTAAATGTACGTCATTTCCTCTTCCTGGTTTCCGCATGTGTAGCAATTATACCGGAAATGTGCGCGCATTAATGTTGGGAAGACCGACTCTTTTTACTGATTCGAATCTTTGACTCTCAAACAGTAAAAAGCGGTTAGCACGACTGCCTCTGGAGAAGAGAGCAGAGAATCCTGGGTTCGATTCCCAGAGGTACCACATGCTTGGCACCTGAAGGGGGCAGCATGTTAACAGAATATCTGCTGCTAACAACAACTTTCACAAATATAGGATCTATATAGTACAAATGTATTTATTACAAATATGGGATCTATATAGTACAAATGTATTTATTTATTTGTAATGAGTGAGTCATTCAATTTGTTTGAACTTAGAGTTCAACTTTTGCAGATTCTCATTGTCGACTGAAAGACAAATGATCGGCTCGTGAGAAATGTGTAAAGTGAATAATTTATTAATCCTAAAATGTAATTTCTACTTACAATTTCTGTATAAGACACTGTTTCGTGAGATACATGTACTTTCACACAAGTATTGTACAAAACCTCATTCTGGGGGGAGGACATGGTTGGGTCAGTGCGGGGACTTTGTTAGTAGTGAGGCGACTTGAAGCGTCTGCAGCTGAGTGGCTGAACTGTGAAGTACGATACATCGAATCATGCACAAAAACCTGCAGTTAGAAAAAAAAGGCACCTGCTATCGATCACCCTCACACCGCCATCTCAGCCGTGAACGGCTTCTTCCTTCATGTCCGCTAGTGGAAGTTATGGCGCCTAAGGCTAACATGTGAGTGATGAGTTGGATGCAGATGAGGACGTGGAGGAGAGACAGGTTGAAGAAGTGAAAATATGGAGGAAAAAGTTAAGAAAAGTAACAAAACATTTGTTTGCAAACATGTCTGCTATGCTGATTCATTGCTGCTCACTTTTCCACGTTCAGTATTGACTCACTCCTAGCTGCACTAGTTTGTAAACCAAATGATCAACCACTGCACCGATTCACAGTTTCAGCTAATACATCAGAAACGATACTGAAGCAGAAACACAGCTTTAGTACAAAACTAAACCCGTCATGCAAACACTCGGCTTGTTTTTTTTTTTCTGTTTTCAAACACATGCAGTGTAAATGAAGGCCAACTGACACGGATATGAATGAAAAACAACCAGGAAGTATGAGTAAATGAAGCATGAGTCAAAGAGCAGCAGCGTCAAACTGGTCAGACCTTAGAGCTGAATGAAACCTTCACAAATAAGCCGCATTTTTTTGTTTTTTTATCTTTTTAACATCTTTAAGGCAGTAAACAGAAATGTTTTTTTTAAAACATAATTGTTACTAAAAAGAAGGAAAAGGCACAAAGGAACACATTTCTGCGAAGCATCAGGGTATTCAAAGGGCTCCACTTACATTAGGCTTTTTTTAAAATTATTATTATTATTGTACTGATATGTCTCGTATGTAATTCATTTACTGAAATCAAAAAGAATGGAGGGACCTATTCGAGGGAATTCACGTGACAAGAACAGCCTTTTCATTTCACCATAAGCGTGGAAACAGCAGCACC